ACATCACGAGGCGAGATTTAGCCTTCGGCTACTCTTACATCTAACCCCTGATGCTCATCTAGAGTTGATAATACCCTATGGCTCTATAAATTACAAAATTAAAAATATACTAACTAAAAAATCAGACATTACTAAGTTTGTTCGACCAACATTCTCCTACATTATTCACTGTGCAGATAGTAAAGATTCTTTTATAAACTTTTTAAATGCTCTCAATAGACACAACGATTTCTATCTGTTTCTCGTCTTGCCAATATCTTCGCCTTCGTCCATGTTATCCTCTCTTTTCTTGTGTATTGCGAAGTGTCACATTCAACGTTTGCCAATGTATTTTTTCTTCCACATCTATTTTTGCTGCCCAAGTCTTCTTCACCTGCCTTTTATTCTCAGTTGCTTTATTTCGATAAAATCCACCACTGATTTCATTTCCAGGTATTTCCTAACTTTTATTATTTCCCAATCTTTCTCTTTTCGTGACAACTTCAACTCTTCTAAGATACACCATTTCTACCGCCTGTAGAGAGGTCTGTATATTGACAGGTCTGTATATTGACTTGGATACATTCATTTTTGTTTTTCTAGATTTATTGTTCAATTGCTTGATATATCAATGTTTATTGTCTCTACTCGATTATCAACTTCTTTCTCTTGTTGTCCATTTGTGATCTATTTCTACACTCAAATACCCGAGAAAGTTTCTACTTCTTCAATGTTTACTTACATTCTCAAGTTGCATATTTATATACGCCTGTTCGCCATTTCATTTTTTTTTAAATATTCCGTTCTGTACTTCTGTATTTTCCTGTATTTTTATTTTATTTTCTGTGAACAGAACATCATCTGCGAAAGCTCCAACCCTTTGTATATTTCTGTATGCCACATGTTCGTTTTGGCCGAACACTCCTTTATTTAAAATCTGTTTTTGCCTTAGTTTTTCCTGTGTCGAAAAAGTTTCAGATTTTCTGTTATGACTTACAATACAGTTGATGTTATCTTGATGAATGTGTTCTAATATTTTTATACTAGCGAGCCACCCGTCTCAGCACGGGCGCAATGCTGGTACTGAATATAAATTCATCCACCGAAAATTTAAGGGCATGCAGAAACAACTTTTATTTATGAATGTTCCTTTTCCCTCCCCGGCTGGCTCCCCAGTTGGAATATTTAAGAATCCTTTTTGCACATCTATAACATAAAACAAACCTACATACAAAATTTTAGCTCCCCAAATTAAAGTGGTACGCAGAAACAGCTATGAAAAAGGAATGTTCATATATAAACGCGCCTCTTTCATCCCCAGTGGTGCCCCCAGTTGGAATATTTAAAAATCCTTCCTCATTACACATCGACAACATAAAATAAACCTACATACAAAAGTTCAGCCTCCGAAAATATAGCGGCCCGGAGAAACAGTGATAAAAAGGTAACTTTTCCCGGCGGCTGGCGCCCCAGTTGGGATATTTAAAAATCTTTTCTTATTGCGCTTCTACAACATAAAACGAACCTATGTACAAAATTTCAGCTTTCAAAAATATAGCGGTACGAAGAAACAGAGATGCAAACGACATGTCGACATGTCTAATGGTCTGTCTGTAGAGTAGGGAGGGTAAGTGTAAGCTCACAGCACTTAGGCCACATGTGATCCATTGTACATCCTCCCGAGGAGTTGTCCTCCTAGGTCATCGTCCATCCTGTCCTTTCCAGAAAGGTGGACAGGTCACTTGGAGGCATCTCCTTCATATCGGCAGGTGTAGGCCAAGACTCGCCGAACAAACACTCTCTTAGTTACGATAACTCCGGGCACTCGCATAGGATATGCCTGACAGTCTCATCTTCCTATTCACACATCCTGCATAGGGGTGAGTCCACTAACCTCATATTATGGAGGTGTTTCCTTAGTTGACAGTGGCCAGTCAGAAATCCTACTGTTTTTCCTGGTCATCGCCAGATATTTGTTCGGCGCCAGCTTCCCAGGGTCGCCTAGGGTGATCCTCGCAAGATTGCATCTTTTGATTCCATCCCATCTCTTTAGGGATTGAGCATGGGTGTAACATTTGGCTAGTTTTGCAATTATCGAAGTCATCAGGCCGTAGGTGCCACTGGGCTCTAAAATTCTTAGTCCAGCCGCTTTCTTGGTTAAAGAGTCGGCAATGCGATTACCTTTATTTCTGTCGTGCCCTTTAACCCACTTCAGGATAATGTTAATATCTACCGAGGCTTTGGCTTAATCTTGGTGGCACTCTAGTACTAGCCCTGAGGTAACAAGTCTGTTCAAGGCTAATAGGGCTTGCCTGCTGTCAGTGCAGATTGTTTTTGCCAGAAAGTTCTTTCCTGGTTATTTCTTTTGTGGCGATTGAGATACCAGCTAGTTCTGTTTGAACCACGCTGGTATTTTTTCCCATTCCCCACTTAATCCTCAGGCTCAGTGATCTGGAGTACACTCCACCTCCTGAACCTTCTTTGTTTTTTAACCCTTTCGTATATATGCGTATTGCATTTGTAGCATCTGACTCTGTGATCTGTTTTATTTTTATTTTGTAAGGTGTATTGAACACAAACCTGGGTTCAATTGCGTCACTGGTTGCCTGCAGCAGATGTTGCGCAGTAAGAGCTTCTCGCCATAGGCTCAGCCTCAATTGACCCATTCCTACTTCGAGGTCTAATGATTTTTAAAATAGTAGAGGAAATTCGCCTAATATGGGGGTAGTGCCTAATATGGGGTAGTTCAATTTTAAGCAAGTAATTGTTCCGATACCTATTGTGAACATTAAAAACTAACCACCGACTTCCTAGAAAGCGCCCATTTACGTTTTGGAGCAAACTTGTGTTGCATTTCGATAGTTTAGGTTATGGTAATTTTGTGTATATTTAAGGAAACTCAAAGGTAAGTTTTTAACGAGCGTAGAAAGGTACGTAAAGATGAAGGGAGCGCCTGAAGAATTACAGAGGAGATGGATGTCGAGCTTACTACTCCAACTGACCTCCCTGTATATTTAGATCAGGAGCGAGAGCTTCTCAACTCTCCAACTCCTAATCCTATAATTGAACCTAAAAAAAGGTTTGGTGGTGCAGCCAGGAAACGACTGAGTCGTCTCCTCAAGAGCGAGGTACCTTATGAAACGCACCAAATTTATGAGCGACGTACGCAGAATCTGTCTCAGGTGGAGGAACAAACCCCCCATGAGCAGGTTAGTAAACGTTTGCGCTCAAGTGATGATTCACCAAAACCAGAGGCGAAAAAACCCTGCACGGTTGAATCTAAGGCATCGTCAGGTGTAGCTGACGTGCTAAAACCCTCATATAAGAAGGTTGTCGCGGGTATCAAGGTAGGAATCTTGCACCTTGACTATTCGACTACCTCAATAACGATGAAACAGCAGAGCATATACTTTGTGTCTGCACCACTGGGGAACGAATCAGGTTTTTAGAGTTCAGCAGAGCCGTACTCTTACCATCCGACCTGAAAGACCACTCACCATACAAACTAATCGGCTTCGTTGAGAAGCTGGGTTTATTTGGTCGTTTGTGAATAGGTGTGAGCCACAATAAACCCTTGCGGGTTGTGGTGGAGGGTTGAACACACCCACTCACTTTGGATCTAACCTAACCGAATCATATCGCTGGAAATCTCTGCACGCCATCCCTCTTGTTCATACTACTAGGTCGTTTTTCAATTTTGATAGCCTCTCTGATTGTTCGTGAGTAAAAGTTTTCATTGCTTGCTAGAGTTTTCGTGTTATTAGAATTGACGTTCTGTTCTGTCGCGAATACATGTTGAAAAAAAGAAAATGTGGTGACGTGGTCACTGATAATTTGTGTTCATCTTTGCGTTTATTTATTCGTCTGTTGGTCTGGCCGATGTGAGTCTTGTCACAGTCTTGACATGGTATTTCGTAAACTCCTTGGGACTTCAGTGGTATCTGATGCTTTGGATAACGGAGCATGGACCTAATTGTACGTTCTGGTTTGAATGATATTGATATGTTGTGTTGGCGGAGAATTCTGCTGATTTTGTCTCTGGATCCTTCAATATATGGTAGTATGGTTGTTGTAACAGGTGTATCTCGTGTTTTCTGTTGTTTCTGTGTGATCTTGGAAGTCGCTTTTATAATTTTCTCTGAGTAGTCATTCATTTGTAAAGTTATCTCAATGGTATTCAACTCTTGTTATCTGTGTTCGTTATCTGCCAGTCTCCTTGAACGTGTAATGAGTGTTTTTGCCACAGAGTGTATTTGTTTTGGGTGGTGGTGTGAATTTGCGTTCAGGCGTCTATTGATATGTGTGGCTGTCTGGCTTTTTCATTCTGGTTACCTTCTTCAATTTCTTTCGTGAATTTGATCCGTGGATGGATTACATTAACCTGATTGAATAACCTTGACAGTTCTTGGTGTCCCTGTGACCAAATCACGGAAATGACTTATTTCAGCCAGAGTTTTGGTTTCACTTCTGACGTTGCTACTGCTTTGGTTTCGATTCTTCCATGTAGAGATTGGCAATAATGGGTGACAGTAGCGAGCCCATTGTTGTCACCTCAATGTGTCCGTATCGTTGATAGTACTTTATCGTCGACGAGTCATGTAACTTCAGTGTCAATTGGTTCTTGAAAATGACTTCAAAGTGGAAGCATAGCATATATAGTATTGGGGCCCAAAATAGAGCCTTGTGGAACACCATTATTCGTTTCTAGAAAATTGGAACAATTCTATTCGATAGAGGTCTGAACTCTAATATTTTGTAATGATATTATTAACTTCTAAGTGGGTCTAAATTCGAGAGAAAATGATTTTTTTAACGCGTTAGACATCTTGCAAAGTTGAAATATCAGGAAAAGAAATAAGAAAATATTTCTTGCATTGACTAGGCATTAGTTAGTGCAATATTTACTTGTATTTTTTTTTACATAGGATGAACAAAAGGTTATTCAAACCTTTTTATTGAAAAAGAGATGATGAGAAGTCTTCTTGAGAACATGCTTCGCATACATAAATGTCGAAAACCGACTGTAGATCAGGTGCCGGAATATACTCCGTGGGAAACAATTTATATCACAGCTTTTCGCTTGGTTAATATACATCCGTCTTCAAAGCGGAAGAAATTTCAATTTCAGACCTCAGTGAAATGAGCGGATCAATCCTTACAGATACCCAGACTGCATTAATGTCAATGAAGAATCCAAAAGGGATATTTAGATTGGCCTTTGAATGTCGTGAAGAGCTGAGGAAAGTAGCGACCGTAATAAATTGACTTCATGCTGGATGCCTGGATACTCAGGAATTACAGTTGATGAGTGGCTAGACGAGAATCATCACCTCCATATACTGGCTCAGAAACAGCAGATAGGCCTAAGGTGAGTGGGTCTATTCGAACTTCAACTGTAATTTGCCAAAGTTTCTGTGGAAAACAGATATTCAAATGAACCCAGATTCTTTCGGATCACCTGTCAAGAGAGGGACATCAAATGTTTAATAAATTATCAGGCGCATGGACTATCTTGAAAAGGAAAAAAGCATCAACTACGACTATTATATAACATCATTGGAGAGTTTGAAGGATGAAATCGCGAAAAACGGCCCAACGGCCCAAAAAGAATATGCTGTTTCATCAAGACAATGTGCCATATCATAAGTCAATGAAAACGATGGCAAAATTGCATGAATTGGCTTCGAATTGCTCCCGCATCCCCCGTATTTTCTAATTCTGAGTCCCAGAGACTCAGCGAGCAAAAAAAAACTCGCT